TTTCATTTTCCAAACGCCTGACCAGATTTTTAAAATTTTTATAGGCCTCATCTTTACTTCCCAGAAACATCACCCATGTAAATCTTGAAAAGTCATCGACTATTACAAAAGCATACGACTTCCCTCCTATACTCATTACATTACTTGGACCAAATAAGTCTAAGTGTAACAATTCCAGAGTTTTTGTCGTAGATATGATTTGTTTAGATTTAAATGAGGATTTTACTTGTTTTCCTTTAGTACATGCATCACAGAAAAATTCTTTCTTACAGTTTACCTTAGGAATGCCAGTTACTAAGTTTAAACTTACCAGTTTGGAGAGTGTTCCTACACTGATATGTCCAAGTCTCCTGTGCCATTCTAATTGATCGTTTTTATCGACAGTTACTAGACAAAGTTCATTAAAAAGACCTTTATCACTTAAATTTATGCAGAACAATTTTCCTTTCCTTTTTCCTGAAAACAGAATTTTCCCAGTTTCAATGTTTTCTACATAACAAGCAGTTGGTTCGAATACTACTCTGTTTGACTCTCCACAAACTTGACTGATTGAAAACAAGTTGTGTTTTAGTCCATCAACTAACATCACATTATTAATTTTAGGTTTAATTCCAACTTCCCCTTTACCAAGAACGTCAGTACTATAGTTATCACCAAAATAAACTTTACCTTTTTTTTCTTTAATCAGTTTTGTGAAGAGTTTTTCATTTCCAGTCATATGATGTGAGCAGCCACTATCCAGAATCCACTCGCTGTCTTCCATGCTCACTTGGAAGCAGACCTAATCACACAAATGTTTTACTTTGTTTTAGGTAACCAAATCATCTTAACACTAACATCTTTTGGTTTTGGTTTTTGACATGTATAGCTCATATGCCCAGTCTCATGACAACTGTAACATACAGTCTTTCTCATTCTGGCTTCTTTAGCTATCCTTCTTTCACAATTAGCTATATAATGACCTTTTAGATGACAATAAAAGCATTCAACATTTGCTGACCCTTGCTTATAGGCTGTGTATTGTGGCCTGCCAGACTGATTTATTCTCGTAGTAGTGACTTCATGTCTGTTACTATGTTCTGCCAGTTTGTTTTCTAGTTCATTATTTCTTTCCAATACCTCATTTATATGTTTATCTAGAATAGATTTCTCTTTTACTAGATTAGCATATTTCTTATTCAATTTGTCAAATTCCAGTTTAAGTTTCGAGTACTTGTTCTTAACATTCTTGACCTCTAGTTGTATATCCCTGATAGTCTCATTTATTTGATCATTTTCACTACCATTATCAGAGTAATAGCTTAGAGTCCTTACCTGAGACGAGTGGCATTCATCGTCACTATCCCCAATGGCCATAAACGCCTCTTGCCTTCTGCTAGATTCTCCATCTTCTTCCTCATCTTCACTGCAGCTCCAGGTGGCTGCATATGCCTTGTCTTTCTTCATTTGAGGGCACTCTGCCTTGATATGTCCGCTTCTTCCACATTTAAAACATCCAGCTTGGGATGTGTTCTTCTCAGCTACTTCTTTCCTGAATCTGGTATTCTGTCTAGATTGCCTGAACTGATCTTTGTCTGAGTCACCTTCCTTCATTCGACTATTGGTGTTTCTTCTTCTCTCCTTTCTTAGTCTTAATAGCTTGGCCACATGTTTACTTAATATGGCCAGTTCATCGTCCTCCATGTCGTCCAAGTTTTCAAACTCCTCTTCCTGTTCTGAAACTTTGAAGGCTATGCTGCGTTTTTCTTTCCTTGGTTCCTCTCCTTCTTCTCGTCTCAGCTTGTCTTCATGTGTAACTAGAGATCCCATCAGCTCGTCTAAACTGAGCTTGGTTAAATCCTTGGATTCTTCTATTGCAGTGACTTTGGGCGTCCATTTTCTCGGCAGAGCCCAGAGTACCTTCCTAACCAGATCAGCACTTGTGTATTCAACTTCCAAATTTCTCAGACTGTTGACGATGGTTGTAAACCTATCATGCATCTCTTTGATTGTTTCACCCGGTTTCATCACGAATGCTTCGAATTCTTGCTTGAGAACATTTATTCTTGAAATCTTGACATGAGTAGTACCTTCGTGAGCAATCTGGAGCTTGTCCCAGATTTCCTTCGCGGTTTTGCATCCGGAAACCCGATGATACTCCTCCGGCCCCAATGCGCAATACATCAAGTTTGTGGCCTTCGAGTTCAGTTGGAAATTTCTCTTATCCTCGTCGGTCCATTTCCCTCTAGCCTCCTTGACTTCGAGTGGACCATCCAGTACAATATTCCAGAGATCCGGATCAGTTGACCCGATAAATAGCTCCATACGATTCCTCCAGTACCCGTAATGCACTCCTTCAAAACGTGGCGGTCTTGTCTGTGAGAATCCATCAGCCATGAATACTCCTCCCGTGTTTGCGCTCGAACCCATCTCCGGAGGTGATTAATCCTTTTACGTCGGAGCCCGGGCTCTGATACCACTTGTTGGTGTAGTCGAGCGCGAGACTCAGGAGATGATTCCCTCTTGTTCTGCTCTCAACTGGAATCCTGCGAAACCCTAATCTCGTTTCGGCAAGAACAAGTGAAAAGTGTGGTATAGAATTGAGTTTCAATCGATAGAAAGGTTAAGAGACTCCCCGTTCTAAGTAATCAAAACGACAGCACGTTTGTGGATTGGGCCGACAGTCTTTCTTTCCCTGTAGTTTAGTTGGCCCAAGTTGATTTACTTAAACGCTGTGTTTTAACTTCTCTGTTTCTCCTTAGTTTCTTAAGCAACTCGATCAAACCTGTCCTGCACAAGACTCAGCTTTGCACTATAGCAAGAACACAAGATCAATCTGGAAATTTAAAGAAACAGAAGCAGAGTAGAGCACAAATAAAACACAGACACGATTTTTACGTGGTATCCGGTACTGATGAATTCAGTACCGACTAATCCACGGTCAAAGTCACTCTGTTTCGAGTCCTTTGACGATCACTAGGATGGTAGAGTTCAGAATACAGTTTACAATCAATCTCGAGGTGACTCCCCGTCACTTGATTAGACTTCCTATCCAAATTCAGCTCCTTGCTTGAATTCAGATCACCAAACACTCAACCTGTCTCCCCGACAGCTCCTCTTCCTTTTCTATTCAAAACACAGTAAGCACTCTAGTCTCTGTTTTTGAAAGTTTGCACGAAAAGGATGATCAGCTCCTAAGTTTCTTCTCACTTATATTTTGCTTTCTTCCCACCCGTTGCCTTCTGATTTAGAGAATCAATTGTTGCCTTCTGTATTTGACAAATCAATCTCACGTCTTGATTTCCTTCAATTTCTCGTTTAATTTTGGCCTTTCCTCTTCTTGCTCTTTGCCTGTCCATTTCCGATTTCCTTTCCTAAAATGTAAGATGCCAGTGGACAGAGCTTCACCCAACATTACTGACTATAAGGGCTTCATATCAGGGGCCAATGGCCGGATTATTCTTTCTATACGCGCGTGATTATTGACCATAAGGTTCGAACTCATCGTGGTATATGGACGACATCATCTGGACGAATTCCTGGAACGCCGAAATGATCGAAACGCGCCAGCCTTTTGAACTTAGAGCCTGAAATGAACAGATCGGGAGCGGTTAGTGACTATCCATTCAGAATCATCATCTGAGTGGGGGGGAAAAACACTATCAATATATAACGTTGTGCAAAATAGTATATGTACAACCTGAAATTGTACTATAACGTTAGAGATACAACTTTAATTTGTACCATAAAAATAATAAAAAATAAAGCACCAATACTTTAAAGTATTATAAAATTCCTCAATCGCATTGACTAATTAATTAAACAGTGGAAGGATTGAGTTAGAAGTTTAGAAAACTCAACTTCGGTTGGGTTACGGTACAAGACTCAAGGGTTGCAAAACATACAAGATCCACGTCTTACCACTTTTGATATGAATCGTGCCACCCTTGATACGATCGTATCATATCAGTGTGGTATATATGAGGAGTGGTAAGCAGTTAAGCACAAAATTTGTAGGTTTTGCAATTGTAGGTTTTGTCCCTATCTTTCTTATCATTAATAAATGGATTACATAATACAACGTTTGTAAGAAAAAGTATTCTATGACGGTAAATATGATCCTTTCGCTACCATCTCATCGTCCCTAAATATGACTCGTTGCTTTGGAAATTCGGCATCCGGCGTCATTCTTTTTCCCACTCGATCGCAGTTGCTACGTATATTCATGGGAAACGAAAGCCCAGAATTTTATAAATCTTGAATGATTAATATCCACTTTCGGAGACAACAACATCGCAGCGAGTAAACGAAACCGTCGCTAAAAAGGATCCGTAACGGGAGAGGCCGTCGCAATAAGTTGGCACCGATCTTCGAAAGTTTATGCTTTCGTGACAAAATCACCAAAAATGTGTTCGGTCTTAAATAAAAAGTACCATTCCATTTGTTCTTTTACTTACGAAAAAAAATCCCAAAATTCAAATGATCTGATCTTATATTAAATTATTTCGATAATAACTGGAAAAAAAGAAGCCGTGAAAAGCAGCATTCTTGTTCGTCGCTATATGTATTGAAAAAGACGACAAAGGCCAAAATGAGAGGAATAATGAGAGTTAAACTGCAGACTCATAGAAAAGGCAAAGAAACAGGTATGAAAGCAGATCGATCATCATATCTTCTTTCATGCACTCCCCGAACCCCGGTTATGGTGCCCGTCCGGGCAGTCCGGATTATTCTTTACGTACATGATTATTGACCATAAAGTTCGTAGTACTGGTGGATGATGATATCCTCTGGACAAATATTTATTTCTGGAGAAACGAGGTGATCGAAACGACGAGTACTCGTTTGTACTTTCAGACCCTGAGGAAACGAACAGATCGGGAGCAGTTAGTGACTATGACTACTGCACGTGCGAGCGGAGAGAGAAATTAAAAAGAATTAAAAAAATAGATGCACACGCGACCGAAAGTAGTACGTAACACGCGGTTAACAAGTGTGAACACGTGCGTACGAACGTTAACTTACTCTTCGATGGAGACACTAATTTTTTGTTCGCCGAGAATTTTCCCCTCGTCGAGAACCGCGATGGTGGCGAAAGCTTCCCTCGACAAGTCGATGGTGTTTCGGCAGCGGGAAGCGCATATGTCAACGATCTTCACCGTCACAGTCTCGCCCTCCCTGCACTGCACCGCAGCGCCGCCGCCTTCACTCAAGCATTTCACTCTGTAACTCTTCCCGCAGGCGTTGCCGCCGTCCCAAAGGGTGTCCTCGTTTGCTGCCGCTACCATTACTCCGTGATTTTCGTTCCCGTAACACCTCGACGCTGCGTTTTGACGATGAAGATAGATGGATAGATGGATAGTTTATTTGGTGCTTAAAACGAGATAGAAATCGTTCGTTAAACAGATGGATCGCAGAGAGGGTCTTACGTGTGTAAGGAGGAGTATAGAAGGCGGCAGTTGTTTTCGCGGCGCAGGGATGGCACGAGAACAGGGAGAAGGCGGTAAGGGCGACGAGAACGGCGATGATCAACTGCCGTGGTGTTGTCATTTTCTTCCGATGAGAAGCTGGTCGGCCGGGGGAGCTGTAAGAAGTAATTAAGAAGTATGTTTTAATGGCCGGGGAAGGTTATTATATGGAAACTGAACTGGAGTGAGACCGTATTTATACACAAATGTGATACGTGAATACTGACAAAATTTAGTCTTCAGTCACTATGGAGTAGTTTGGCCAGGTCGGTATCATTTGAAAAAAAAAATATAAAAAGAAATAATTGAGTGTTTAGCGGAAAAACTATTGAAAGTTAATTCTAATGCAAAAGGTCGTTGAAATATTAAAAATACATCAAATTAGCAACATGTCCGTTCGTTTGAAAACAATCTAATATCTATATCGTCAAATTTCCGTTCGTTTGACCGTTAATTGACACTTCAGAAAAGCTTTGTTTAGAGGAAATTGTCACAAAACAACTTTGTTTCCTTGTTTTGGCATTGCAGATGACTGAATATTTAGATATTCTATACCATCATGGTGGAGTCATGGACTTCTCGGGTTTGTAACTACGATATGTTGGTGGTTTTTCATAGAAGATATCGATGGATATTGATGAAGTGTCGTACTTCGAACTTTTTTGAAGTGTCAACTAACGGTTAAACAGACAGAAAGTTGACGATTTTAATATTAAATTGTTTTTGAAAAGGTTTGGCTATTATATTATTTAAAATGAAAAGTTTGGATATTAAATTGTATTTACCCTTAATTCTAATACCAAAGGTCGTTAAATTATTAAAAATACATCGATCAGTCGGATCCAATTAGCGCCGGCCAGCACCCTAGGGCATGTTGCTAATTGACAAAAAAAACCGGCGCCAATAAGTTGATGCATCCATCGTGTACAATATATGGGACTCTTTGCTTTGTTGACACTATCAAACAAACATCAGTATCATATCATTGTTTAAAATCGATTGATTTGGATAATTCTGAGTTTTTGGTAATGTTTAATCGTGGATTTTAACTCATTTACTAATTCGTCCCCTCATATAATATTGGTTTGAAGTTTGCACAGATTCAAGTACCACATGCTCAACAAATGAAAGTTGTCATGATTCGATCATAATACTTTCCCGATCGCAAAAAAAAAATTATGATACGTACCCTGTCAAAGACCAATTATTTTCAATAATTCGAGCTCTCGACACTTTATATCATGGCAGGGTGTTGGTTTCAATTAAAAAGATTTAAAAAATATGGATGACGAATTCGATTTTTAGGATACCAAATAATACGATAATTCTTCTATTATGCTTTTAAGTATTGGTGTTCGAGTTACAAACTGAACTTATTGTATAATGTTAAAAATATAACTAACATAATTTTTTTTGTATTTTTATGTTATGGTACAAGTTCAGTTTGTACCATAAAATAAAGATAAAAATTCAGTTCATAATATAAAAAAGTTTATTAAAAGTCATTGTACAAACTAAATTTGTATCATAACATTAACCATACAAGTTCAATTTGTTTTTTTTAACCAAAATATTAATACTATAAAACATTATAAAATTTCTCTTTAATATGATAGCAAATACGAATTTATGAACCTTTAAAGTTTGGTCGGTCTATGTATTTTTTATGATTTTTTTTTATAAAATGAGGAAATTTTATTAAGGCGGACAAAAAGAAAATAAGACAAAAATTCAACCAACAGTTGAAAGGAGCAAGGAAAGAAACAAAACTGAAAACAACAACGAAAAAATACTAAGAAAAATCCCAAAGATGAGACGAAAACTCAAACCAAGAACGACACAAAAAGAGAAGACTAAAAAAATCAAAGAAAAACGCTCCTCAACTGATACTACCTTAAAAAACTGCATTTACTTTTTACACCAGTAAACAAATAGTTTGTCCTAAAAATGATATACTTAGTTGGTCACCGACTCCATATGTTTCATGACCAAATCTAACTGCTGTATTAATTCAACCTTTTCTAATAAAATTATTTGTTGTCTGAAATGATTAATAGACATTACTTTTGATCTTCTGATGTGAATATGGACGGCTTTGCGCCTTCTCGGAGCTATATTGAAATTAATAAATCTGAATACGAGAATATAATGTGCTTCACATAAACTAATTCGATATTACGGGTATCTTCGCTTCAAAGCATAGATGGATGGAGAACGTTATGGTGGAAGGAGGGAGACAGGGGAGGCACTAATTTAATTATGGCATTCGATCTGTCTACATATCGCTTGATTTATTCTATCTACCATGCAATTGCTTCATTTGGAATATAGAAAATAAAATGCTATCTATCAGCTCTTGTTCTTTGAACTTACTACAGATGTATCGCATTACGTAATTAATTAGACAGTGAAAGAATTGAGTTACGTTAGAAGTTAGAAAACTTAAGTGCATTGGTTGTTTATTCTCTCTGTTTTCAGAACCATACCCGAGGCTGAACCGGCAAAGTTAGCATGGTCTAGGGTTCAGTGGTTAACCGTTACAAAATCGTTTGTAGAACCGTTCATGATATATAACATACAAGACTTGTATATTACACTAATTTAAGAATGAAGTTATCATTGACCATAAACAATTTCAAATTCATATCATCACCAAAATATCTAGTAAGTCATTCAAACCGTCTCACAAAAGATATAATATATATTTTTAATTAGAGTTAATAATTATGATGCCAGTTAGTGGACCACGTAAAAACGACAACAAGGTCGGAAAATGAGAAGAGGAAACATATATAAAATTAATAACCATGGCTTGATGGTCTTAGTTTACGTGACACTATTTTTTTATTTTTTGTCTGGTTAAAATAGTGAACCAGTGGACCAGTTAAACCGTGGGGGTTCATATGGTTTTATGGTGAACCGTGAGAAATTGCTTGGTCCATCAATAATCGTCCAAGCAACGAACCGGACCGCTATCATAACTGGTTTGATGGTTCCACTGACCCAACCATTGATCCGGTTCGGTTCTTACAACGATGCCATTATGTTATTCATGACCAGTCATTTCTTATTAGTGACGGATGATGAATCATGGTTACAAATAACATTTGTGGCAGTTTGCATTTTTGATCGTAGATCGTTCTTGGTAAACCTAACATACTTTTTCTTCATAAAATACTAGCAAGTAACAACTGATCCAAGCAGCCGTCACGGAGATGCTCCCTATTGAAAACTTTTAAAGTGTTCAGGGAGACAACAACACGTAATTTCATTTGTTGTTATGCAAGTAGAGTATAATTTAAGATATGAATTACCATCACAACTCAAATTATCGTAACGTCTATTAATTTGCTTCGATAATAAACAGTTGCACACACACACAAAACTAAAGAAGCCGTGGAGAGCAACATTCTTATTCGTCGTTATATGTATTAAAAAAAAAAGCAGACAAAAGTCGAGAAGAGCGGAAAGATCGAGAGCTATGTTCTAGTCAAACTCGTAAGACTTGCAATGACAACTCGTAGCAATAAGCATCATTAAATTTTTGGAGTTTTGTTTATATAAACTTAGTTGCATAATATATTAATTCATTATAACTTAAATAGATATCACAAAAACATTGTTTTTTCTTATCATCTTGTGTTCATTCTGCAATCACATTAGACATTTTACTACCACATATTTTTAGTTACTACTAGATCTTTTTTAGGCTAAGGTGGTACAAATGACCTCTCTTGTCCCAAAGTGGCTCCGCCACCGCTTATAACGTTATCTAGTTCAGGTAATTACTGACTATAAGGGCTTCATATCAGGGCCAATGGCCGGATTATTCTTTCGATACGCGTGTGATTATTGACCATAAGGTTCGAACTCATCATGGTATATATGGACGACATCATCTGGACGAATTCCTGGAACGCCGAAATGATCGAAACGCATTTCGAATTTAGAGCCTGAAATGAACAGATCAGGAGCGGTTAGTGACTATCCATTCAGAATCCTCATCTGAGTGGGGGGAAAAAACACTATCAATATATAACGTTGTGCGTACTCTTCAAGGGAGATAACAATTTTCCCCTCGTCGGGATCGGCGATATGTTTGAAAGCTTCGGCCGACAAGTCGATGTTGCCCCGGCAGCCGGAAGGGCACAAGTCGACGATCTTCACCGTCACGGTCCGACCGGCTTTGCACGGCACTTCAACGCCTTTGTTCGTCCCGCGTAAGCATTTCACTCTGTAACGCTTGCCGCAAGCGTTGCCGCCGTCCCAAAGTGTGTCCTCGTCGGCCGCCGCTACCATCACTCCGTGTTCGTCGTACCCATAACACTTGGACGCTGCGGTTTGATCATATACGAAGATAGATAAGTTTGTTCTCTGTTTTAGTGACGGAGTCAGAAATTTTAGATAATAAATATTTAATTTGTACAAATTATAACAAAAGAGTGTTTCCTGAAAAAAGATTTTGTAAAGTACACTTGATGTCTAGCACTGCTTTATATATAAATCGATCTCGCGATATATCCTACTAGACAAGGGGACCTGATGTAATTGAGCTCAATCATCAGCTTTTGAAAATAATTGGAGATCAGGAATAGCTTTTCTACTGTTATATTTGGATTTAAAATATAAAAACAAATGAGTAGTAGTCTAATGGGAAAATGTGTTTACTTAATTAGCCGTGAAGACCCAAGTTCAAATCACATAGACTACCACTTAAATATTTTTATTTATCCATATGCAAACTACTATTAGGGGTCGGATGATCTTTTTTTTCTCCAAATTTTAGAGGTGTCTTGCTGCCATTTAAATATTTTTCACCCATACGATAGACTGTTATCGGGGGTTGAATAAGTGTTTTCCCCAATTTTAGGAGGTGTCCCGGAACACCAGTAAAGCTCCGCCATGAATAAGCCACTGAATCTGCTGGTTCTCAATAACTCAAGCTGTTGGGACTTGTGAGAGATTTAATTACGAATCATAAACCACTTAATAACACGCACGAAAAATCTACTCGTTTGGGTGCGTAAAATCTGCACATGTCTGAATATCATGTACTTAACAAATAGGGGTTATCGAGATTCGAATAAAAAATATATAGACTCCAAGATCCAATACCAACCAATTAGTTCAGATAATATTATGAGGTTTATCGTTAAACAGATTGATAAGGGCTCTTACGTATGTAAGGAGGGGTGTAGAAAGTGGCGAGTAACTTCCCGGCGCAGGGATGGCCTGAGAGCAGGCAGAAGGCAGCAACGGCGACGAGAACCGCCGTCAAGTGGTGTAACCGCCGTGGAGGAGTTGCCATTTCTTCCGGTGATCGGCTGGACGTACGAATTAACCTCTAAAATCTCAATACGGTGATTAATGGTGGAAGGGTAAATTATACATGATACTAAACTGAAGTGAGACCGTATTTATTTATACATAATGTAATATGCCAATATGGTAATACTGACAAGTTAGTCTTCAGTTGTTATGAACTTATGATTCTTTCCTCTCTAGAAGATAATATATATATAACAATTTTTGTTATAGTTGCCGGTACGTAAACTATTGGTCGGGCCTAGAAGCCGGCCGGCGGCCTAAGGACAAAAAACGACCGGCGCCGATTCGTTAATGCATCCGTCTTGTACATATATGTTTGCTTGAAGAGGAACGAGGTGTACTCTTTGCTTTCTAGACGCTATCAAACAAACCTTAGGACAATTATATTAATATCCGAAAGAGGTAGTTACATATGGAATTTCAATGAGAACAAGAATATTGTATTGTTGTCTCACTAGCTATATGTAATAATAAATAAATAAATAAATAAACAGGTTCTGTAACCAAAAAATTTACAAGATTATTGTAGTTGCAAGAGAAGGTTTATGTATTTTGAGCAATTATAAGCATATATTAAACAACGCGCCCATCTCGCGATTCTCCAGAGTATTGGTAGTTCAAGATATAAGTTGAACTTGTATCATACCGTTAAATGTATAAATTTAGTTTTTATCATTAAGCAATCTGCACGAATTGAATTTGAATCATAATGTAAGAAGTACAAGTTTATTGGTTTGTACAATAATAAACTTTTAATGAAAGCACCGATTCGCAAAATTCCTCTTAAACAATCATGGATAGATGGGTAGGATTCACTCGTTCACTTTTAACCAAAATAATTTTTAAGAAAATACTTTAACATAAGACTATAAAAACCATAATTATTAATTTTATATATATGCTTCCTCTTCTAATTTTCCAACTTTGTTGTCGACTCTACATTGTCCACTATCGATTGACACCATAATTTTAAATTTGAACTAAAAAATTATGATTTCATTTGTCGGATGGTTTGAATGATTTATTATATATTTTGGTGATTATATGAATTTGAAATTTTTTATGGCCAATGATAACTTCATTCTTAAATTACTGTAATATACAAGTCTTATTGTTATATATCATGAACGCTTCTATCAACGGTTCACCAACGATTTTGTAAAGGTTATTCTTTCCGGTTTCGCCTATGATCCAATTCTAATTATATAGGTAGGATTAAATGCAATTTTTTCCAAAATTTCGATTTAATATGTATCTATATTTTAGTCTTTATATTTTAATATTTAATCCTCCAAATGGTTTCGACAATTACATTTAGTACCTAAAATTTGGTGAGTCATTTTAGCACTTAAAATTCAAATAACTTGAATTATTGGACTCAACCAATTCCCGTCATGATATCATAACTCCTAATGACCAAATAATTTCTTAAATGTTTGAATTCTCATAACCCTCAACATGACCCGTCGATATCATGAATTGAAGTGTATAATAAACCAAAAAAAAAACAAAAACAAAGAGCGGGGGAATCGTATTAGTCATTCCCGAACCCCACCCAAACAAAACCAAGTGGAAGCAAAACCACGAAGGCCGGTCGAGTTTGACTTATTCCGTCGTTCTCGGCTTGTCGGCTTCATCGGAAAACAAAGCTGTATTCAATCATATTAACCTTCTTTGAAGCTGACATTTATTATTTATTTAGGCCATCGTGTGACTGTTTTTTGATGCACATGCAAAGTTGTTTGATTCAATGCCTTCATACAAATTCCAACAATTAAAAGAGGTCGAAGAGCCAAGGATGACTCTTTTATATCGATTCATTTTTCATAACACATTAACAAATTCAAAGCATAATTTTTTTTTTTTACATACCATCGATCGGAAGGGTGTGCAGGGCGAAGGAAGTCCGCCCTTTGTATAGATCTATACACGAACATCTCTCAACAAGTCGAACTATTGGAATCAAAAGATTTATGATACGGTAACATAGCTAGTTTGACTGTGAGGTCTCGTGTTCAAGTCATCACTCATCACTGGCCAAATATTAACAATTTATTAAGTACATGAGGTGACGAACCTCTCTAAACTTCAAACTCTTGAGTTTGCTTTCATTTAAGAGAGAGTGAAGTGCGTAAGTAAGTAAGTTGTATAAAATTCGTACACGAACCTCTATTACAACAACTCAGGTTATTACGACCAAACGATGTACAAAATTTCGATCTTATATACCATCTTCGGGTTAAAAGCCAACGATTGGTATCTCTGCAGGATGGACGGACAGCAATTTAGTGAGCTCATCTAAGCTAGCTAGGTCGTGCAATAATTTGGCTCAATAGTTACTGGAGTTGAAGCTTAGTAACCAGCTAGCTAACCATTAAGCTACCTCCACGTGGAAGGCAGCAGGCTAACGATCTCAATTTCGTGCATATATATATTTCGAAGACGGCATCGAAAAAGAGTTGTCAAAGGAAACGAGGTTGTTCATGTATCGATATATTTCCCAGTTTATTGCCGACTTTCCAGTTTCCCTGATATTCTATGCACAGAAGAACTCGTTAGTCGTTACCTTGTGTGTGTCTACAGATCATCATGTATATTCAAAGAATCGTATTCGTTACTAATGTTGTTTTTCGTCTATGTTAACACCTAAAATTATTTTGGCTTAATTGATTAGTGTGGAGTAGTAGTATCCATAGTTGCGGAACTCTCCTTTCATAAAGAAATTCTCCATAGGCATAGTATGAGAGTAGTAGTAATTAATTTATATTCACGTTAACTCGAGTTGCTGGGAGAGATTCAATAATAATGAATCTTATATCACGTATTAACACGATCCTTCAAACTCAAACCGCTTATATGGATTTAAAGTTTGCATAATCCGGAAATGAGATTGTCGGTATACGAAACACGATCCCTCAAACTAATTTTTGACATGGTATCAGAGCCTTATATAACTGAGAGGTCTCTTATTCATGTTCCGATGATCCCATTGACAATCACGTGATATTTGTTACAGCGATACCTGTACAAACTTCAATACTATATAAGTGGGATGAGATAATATGCTAACCCTCAAAGGGGTTGAGTTTTTGACACCCCAGCCATCAGCCGTCCATTTCATTCCGAATCTTAAGGTAAGTATTAATGGAATGGATTTTTTTTATTTTTCCAGAATTTTGTAGATGGGGCAAGTTCCCATATTAATTACGTTTTCATGGGGAAAGAGTAAATCACGTTGGATGGGGGAAATTTGATTGAGCTTCCATATTCCCCTTCTTTCCTCCCGAAAAAATAGAAACTCGGCCCTCTCCTCTACATAACTCGACGGCTGCCGGAAACCAGCGGGCATCGCCGCAGTGGGATCCCCTTCGACCCGCCTGGTGGGTTGCTCGCCCCCGGAGGATGAGACACAAGGGATATCGCCGGAGATCGAGCCGACGAAGGCCACGCGGGAGGCAAGACGGATCTGAGATTCCGTGCGGCGGTTCTGGGCATGCCAAGAACGGCGGCTCCTGTGTCGGCATCGAATGACAGGGGAGTGCAGACGAGATCGGACTCGCCTCCCGATCGCCGGATGGATTGCTGGCTGTCGAGGGAGAACTCGTCGGAGATAAAGAAGAACATGGAGGGCGCCGATTACTCATTTCTTACAGCTTCTTGTCGTGAAGTGCAACCCTACAACGTCTAGTAGACAACGACATTGTCGTGAACATGTACCACTGATCTGGTACATATATCATTGAAATGATACATGTACCACTAAACTGGTATATGTATCACTTGAGTAGTATATGTATCACCAAAGTGGTATATGTACCACTGATCTTGTACATATATCATTAAACTGATACATGTACCACTAAAGTGGTATATGTACCATTGACCTGATACAAGTACCAGTGAAACTATTCAAGTCATACTTTTCACACAAAAAATGTGACCACCCACTTGCAGCGTTAGATATACTGTACTTGTACCATTAGCAAAATCGAAACTCATCCTAAATGTTCCCGTTGCAGTGATAGATATATTTTTTAGTGGTACCGTTGAAATGGTACATGTATCACTGAACTGATACACATACCATTGTACTAATAGATGTA